TACATAAATTTACTATAAACTAATCAAAATTTACTATAAACTAATCAAGATAGTTGCAACCCTAAGTGGAGGGATGAAAGGGACTGCGTAGCTATCGTCTTTCAGACCTCCCCTAGTTGGCTAATTCCAGAAGACTGCTAGACTATGGAACTGGAGTTAGTCGTACTTAGGTTCAGAGAAGGCTGCTAGGCTACCGAACTCTGATCCTCTGGCTAGTAGAATGATGATTTATTCGAAGACAACTGTGCTTATAAAGGCGAATGGTTTACATATGGGCTCAATCTTCATAATAGTTGTTTGTAGTTGTGGTTGTTTTGGATAAATTATACTAGATGGCGACTATGTGTTCGTTACATTGCTTAATATACTTGCCATTATGCTTGGCGTTTGTGGACTCGAGGCTTTCTCATAGAAAGCCTTCGATTAGATCAAGACCTATTGGCAGTGTTGCAGTCTCTCCAGCGATGCCATATCGACTACCTACAGATATATGGAGGTGCTTAAGTGTTTTGTATAGAAACCGGATTGCGCAACCGACCGATACCAGGAAGAGAGTTTGGAACATATCCAGTTGCAGAAAGGCGTGAGACATAGAGATGTCATTTCTCCGAAACTGTTCACTAACGCAATTTCATTACGTTTTCAAGCACATGAACTGAAGCAAACTGGGCATCAATATCTCATTAGAAAATACATCACACACCTCCGCTGCGCTGATTATACCTATAGTCATCATGGCGGAGTCACACACAGTCATCGTTAGGAATGATATCCTCGAAGTTGTAGACCATTATACATATTTATCCAGCTAGGTCGAACTTAGACAAAGAGGTCGCCCGAAGAATCCAACTCGGGTGGGCAGTGTTCGGGAAATTACACGAAACGTTCTCATCTAAAATCTCTCAGTGCCTGAAGATAAGGACGTTTAATCAGTGTGTGTTGTCGGTGATGACGTATGGTACAGAGACGTGGTCCCTGATCTCTGGCCTTCTGGAGAAGCTCAAAGTCGATCAGCACACGATGGAGAGAGCTATGCTCAGGCTTTATTTAATTTATAAAATCTAGAGTTACCGACATAGCTCGCAAAATCTGCACACTGAAGTGGCAATGGGCAGGCTCACTCGTCACTCGACGGACTGCTGATGGCAGATGGGCCAGGAAAGTCCTTGAGTGGAGACGACGGACCGGAAGACGAAGCGTAGGCAGGGCTCCCGCTAGGTGGACCGACGACATCGCCAGAGTTGCGAGGAGTCAGTAGATGCAGGTGTCCAGATGTCGTTTGACGTGGAGGACTAAGGAGGAGGCCTTTGTTCGTGTTTCGGCTGTTAATGATGATGGATATTATTCATATTTTTTTTAAGTATCACATGACGTTTGCTTTTAAATGTCTCCCATTAAACTTATTATCTTTTGTAATTGTCATTGAACAAATACTCGACAGTAATCACAAATAGTACGATACTTACAAACTGGTTGCCAGAGGGCTGGTTATTTCTTCGTACACGTCGTTTTCTGGGAACGTTTACTGTTGACAATAATGAATTCTTTGATGATTTGATTAATGGTAAACACCTAAATGTAGCTTAGACTGGTCTAAGCTACATTTACCATTTAGGTCTAGGTCTTTAGGGCGCGTCGCGTTTCGCGCGCGACTTAAAGAGCCCTCTGGCCATCACAGATGGGACGCATTGGGCTAATGCTCGGTACGGAGCTGCGGAATGCCTAACGGGTTGCTGGGGCTCCGGCACGAGGAGATAAGTTGAACTACTGATTCGAATAGAATAATTATTTTTGTGTTAGATAGTCCACTTATCGAGGAATGTTATAGGCACGCATACATCATGCTAAGATCAGTGCCGAACGAACCGCGAGCCGAACAGCAGCGGGTGAATCCGCACGAAAGTTGCTAGTGTAATATAATGATGTAATTTCAGCTCAGTGTAATAACGGATGTACCGGCTTTGGATTTAGTCTTACAGCAGTTGGATAACTTGGATACTTTATCAAATATCAGCGACATCATTGATTTGTTGTTTTATGTGCTAGTAAGATTAAAGGAGCCTACTTTGAAAACAATACCTGCAGAAGTGGTAAGATGATGTTTCATTTAGTATTACAAGTTTTTATTTTTTAACCTGCAATGTATGTTTTCAATTCCTATGGATGGATGGATGGATGGATGGATGGATGGATGAATGGATGAATGCATGAATGCATGAATGTATGTAATTATTTAGGTATGTATGAACCTACGTATACGAATTGATGTGTATGTGAAGTGCAATCTCACAAGTAAATTTCGGAGCAGATCTTCAACCGATTGAGTTATAGTACACTGATTATCATAAATGCCATGCCATTAGTATAAATACTGTTTACCATGGTACTGATCATAATAGCTTGTTTTTAAATATTTGAAATAAAAGACAATGCCCAAAAATATATGGATCAAATACCCAGAATCGATTAAAATAATACACAGGGTGTCCCTGAAGTCGACAATCAAATGGCAACAGGTGATCGGCAAGGTTTCTACAGTTATCAAAAATATTTAAAAAAAAATCTGATAGTTTTTAAATTATACTAAGTACTTTAAATTTTATGCATTTATTTCAATGTAGTTCGTAGGTTTTGTGTCTTTATTTTTTTTAATTACACCTTGGCGATTAATAATTCTACAGCTAATTGTTATGATTCTCGCAGAATCTTTTTAAAAAAAGTATTACTTTTTAGGTATATGTTTAAAATCTCAATTTCAGCATGAGGCCATTTTAGCAAACGCACATTCGACAATATCTGCACCGAAGCCGCAGTATATATTTCAAGTATCAAGCTCCTCGAAGTCCTCTGCTGAAATGAAATGGAAAGAACTCGCTAAGAACCATAATATATTTTATGCATATCATGGAAATCGGTTGGAAAATTTTTACACTATATTTAATTTTGGTTTACAACAGCATTTAAATAAGGTGAGGCATCAGATATTAGGTACTCACAATTAATCTAATACGCTTCGCCGGTGGCCCTGTGGGATAATTAGCTTATATACCTACCTACGGCTTATGTGTTATTCCAGACCATAACGTATTACTCATCTACCCCATTTTCAAATTTCATTCTAATCCCTTCAATGATCGCTTACCTTAAATCTGGTGATACGTCTGCTCGTTTGCCTCCTATTTCATAAAAAAAAACTCACATAGGCTACACATCGAGCTTTAAAAAACCAGTATAAACTGAACGTTAATTGTGCGGAAAAATGACACCAGGATAAATTGGTTTTGTATAGATTGATGTGTGGCCGTGTGTACCTACTCTTATTTAACATAGGAGCTTATTGCGAAATCTGTTGTTCTTCTGGAGAGGGCTTTAACCGAAATATCAGGACCATTAAGACTATTGAATTGTGCTGAGTTTACTAGTATAATTGCCACTAAATTGAAATATTGAGTAGTAAATTAAGTAGAATAAATAATACCCAATGAGGGCAACAAGTCTAAATACTTACGAGTACTTACATATCCTAATTTCGTAAATATTGATTAACTATTGTTTACTTGTAGAATACATTGCTTGGCAATGGTGTATACTTGTCACCTGAGTTGAACTTAAGCTTGCCATATAGTCATGGAGGATTCGGATGGGGCGCGAGTTGCATTGGTGGGCACTTGTCTTGCATAGCCTTGTGCGAAGTTGTTGATGCCCCAGAAGGAATAAATTACCAAAAGCCAGTTTCTAATGAAGGTAAAATAATTCCATCTAATAATATAAATTGTGATTTCCAGTGATAGAAATTCAATTTTTTCACATTTATGATCTGCGTTAGTTACCGATTTCATTTCAATAAAACATTAATATATTTTCTCTTAGGTGATGGTTTATATGAAGACGAAAAGAGTAAATTATTAACTGAGCAAGGTTGCGACGGACAAATGACACAATATGTAGTAACAAACTGTGATCTAGTGAGAGTGCGTTACATGCTTGTGTATGCCAAACAGCCCGCCTCCATGAGGTTCCCTACAGCGAGCGTCAACAGGAACGGTATGTTCTTCATCGATTTCATTGCTTACCTGTATTCAAAAATGATCTTTCAACTTCAGGAATTTACATACCTACTTATGTCACGCCATTTAATTTCCGAAAGGGTAGGTAGTTTAACGGCCCACATGGGTGCTTTGCCTGAGCCGGGGATCCCGCGGCCTCTTACTCGGCAGTCATGCTTGCTACACGACCAAAAATACAATTCGTTGAAATAACTATAAAGTATTGCACGTACAGCTATACTTTATTTTCAGTTGGCGGGCTACGTCAATGGCTTGCAAGGCATAAGCTGTTTTCCATTCTACTTGGCTATGGATTGATGCTCGCAACAATAGGCTTTGCAAATAATCAACCAATCCATTATTACTACAAAATATTATTAAAAAAACTTGACATTGCATACAGTTCTGTAAAAGTGTGATATTGGACTTAATACCATATTGTTAGTGTTTAGAATAGTGAAGTAAAATTTGTAAGTATTTGAGCACCAAAATATTTTAGAGCAATTTGTTAGTAATAAATTTGGGAAACGTAATTTTCACATTTCTATTGTCTTACGGCATATGGCACGATTACCATTGCTATAGATGGTAATAACTTTTCTTATCTAACAAGTGCATAAATAAGCTGTTTTAACACACCACACCCGTGCTTTTGTTTTGTGACAATGCTCAATATGGATTCATGGTGAAATTAGAACAATAGTGTCCAGCCATCATTACAATTTTCTCGTCATGGGCTGGAGCACAATCATTGTACGATCTTTTCTGTCAATAGTACCTACCAATGCGGCACATACATAGCTAATTCATATCCACGCCATGTTCGTGTAGCCTGTGACAAAACATCAGTTTGAAATCGTCACTACAGGCATCACCACATTAGACTGTACTTGTTTCTTTGTACTAACTCGTGTACAAAATTAATACAGTGTTTACATTTTCCATACGATACAATATTTCAAAAGACATTATGTTCAATTTGTTACGTGTTCAAGTCTGGTGTACATTAGGCTTAAGTATTGTTTTAACCCAAGAACCCGTGACTAATCTCCCACAAGGCCGTATTGTTGGGGTGAGTAATTTAATAATATAAGTAGAGTCATTTTTTTCAAAACTTCTGTCAAAATACTTTTATTTTTCACAACACTCGTGATACAATTCTTCGCAACTTCTCAGTTCTCACATAATAATAGTCTGCTACGTAGAAATAGGCTACGATCTACGAGATTGCCTAGCGCTGTCTCTGTTGTCTTACGTCCAGTTTCAATAACCTATCTATCTGTAGATTTGCTTACTAGAGATAGAATTTTGACACTTTTTGTATGGAGCTTGTGTCAAAATTCTATCTCTAGTAAGCAAATCTACAGGTAGATAGGTTATTGAAACTGGACGTTAAATATGTGCTACGCACTCGCTACGCAGAAAGACCTTTCGTAACAGTTTTCGTAGCAGCAGAAATGTTGTAGCAAAATCTTTCAAATGTGTTGTTTCAAAAATTTAGACCACTGAATAAAGTTATAGAATACATTCTGTTTTCTTTTTATTTTTTCAGTGTTTTAGTTATAAATTTATTTTAGTAGGTACCCTGGTACTTTTCCTATTTATTTGGTGTACACAAAGTTACTTTTTGATTATATAATTTCTTTTTCAGTATCAATGTTGTTTTAAAATTACAGATAAAAGCTTACATAGAAGGGTCCAACACGCCAATAGAAATATACTATGGTGTTCCGTATGCAACGCCCCCAAAAGGAAGATACAGATTTTCGGTAAGAATGACTAGGTAACATACAACATACATACACAGTGTTTACGAAACATTGTTATCACGCAAAACAAAGCATAAAATATATTCATTATTCGTTAAATACTGAAGTCTGATTGTTAATAACTTCATGAGTTTGACATGATTTATTTTCAAATTAAAGGCTCCAGAACGGCACACGGGTTGGAGACGAACATTTTTTGCCCATAGGATACCTCCGCATTGCCCCCATATTGGAGACGACGACAAAGACAATTACAGCGAAGATTGTCTTTATTTAAACATTTGGACACCTCGGGTAATTCCACCTCAAATTCATTCAGTTCATCGTCCTTAATTAAGTAATTTCATTATAACATTATTCCTTGAATAACAGATGGCTAATGGCTAACCTATAACTAACATGCAATTTTCTAATTCCCAGGTACCTACAATTTAAAAAACTGTGGACAGTTTTTTAGATTTTTTTTTATTCAACACCAATTAGTGTTCCTATAGTCAATACAATTTTGAATTACTTTTATTCTACTGACCTAAATTAATTGAAGAACGGCAATTCTACGACACCCAATTAAATTAAGTACCGTTAACTTACCAACATTGTTCTAGGTAGCGCTCAGATGGTAAAACTTTACCAGTGGTTGTGATATTATTCAGTGAATCGTGGATAAAAGGTGGTGTATCTCTTCCTTGCCAAGAATTAGCAGCCGAGGGGATAGTGGTAGTCACAGTGATGTATCGATTACACCTACTTGCATTTTTTACTTTGCGCACTATAGCTGCTAGGGGTAATCTTGCATTGTTGGATCAATACTTGGCAATGCTCTGGATTCGTGACAACATTGCAGCATTTGGTGGAGATCCTACTGCAATCACTTTACTTGGACACTCCGCCGGTGCTGATAGTGTACTGCATCATATTACTTCACCACGATCTCTTGGTACGTCCCCGGTTCCACTAAATAAAATATCAATATATTAAGAATACACTATAATTGGTAATAATAATGTTTTTGAATATTTTTCTTGCATGAGCCTATTTTCATTTCTCTTACATCACACCGCTAGCAAGCTCCTGGATAGCGTAGACAAAGGTGAATTTTTAAAGAAACAGAAAATAATATATAAAAGTAAACAAACGTAAAAATTAAGAATTTAAACTTTATGAATGTTGTACACAGACCTCCCTATACTTTGTCTATGTTCAATTGTTTATAGATAAAAATATTAGGTAGACAATTCTAATAAATTCTATATCGATTTACAGGTTTATTCCGAAGAGCAATCATTATGTCACCGTTTGATATTTGGAAAATAATTGGCGAAAAGGTTGTTGAAGTTACTCAGGTTGAACGAATGTCTCGTGAAATTGCAAAGGCACTCGGCTGTAACGGTGACACAGATCACGAAATTCTCCATTGTATGCGAGAGCGCCCTTTGTCGGAATTAATGTCATTATATTCGGTAATATATTGCATACCTACATTTATCAATGCCCATGCCTATGCGGCCATGCCCAGGTTTACTTTAATTATATGTCTAATTGCAGAACGATTCCTGGAATAGATTTATGCAACCGATTTCTGACGATTTTTTACCAGAATCTGAACAATTTTTGCCGAATTCAATAATGTCTGGCTTGACAAATCCAGCAACCAAAATACAACTCGATGTTCTTCTAGGCGCGAATGATCTCGAGGCTTTAAATAATAATGGTGAGTGTTAGACATGGATTGAATTCATCAAGTTGGGTACCTACCTACAAATATTTTTTGTAGTGGTAATGATTTCACGTTTCAATTTTCCACAGTTATGAAATATGAAGAATTAATGAAGCAAGGAAACCTTTACGCGAAAAACAAAGTAATAATCGAAAGTCTTCGTTTGTTCTCTTTGGATCGATCGGAAATGTTACCCCTGGTAAGTTGAAAAAATTGTTAAGGCAGTTCGATAATGAACTGGCACCCATCCAAAAACTGACCTCGGTATGCAAATAACCTTCGAGATCCATTCGTATGAGTGATACTATTTAGCAACGTTCTCTTACAAGTTGTGAGATTGTAAATGTAAACTTGTCAGATGAACATTATTATTTTACTGCCTTAGTCCATTGTTAGTCTAATAGGTATGTCGCGGAGAACCTAACGGGTAACCGGGGCTCCGGCTCGACGTGCAGGAGAAGGAACGGGGTGGTTTTTAGTCAGTAAGAGTCTGACATTCCCTTCCGCCTCACCCAGGCGGGAGCAGTCATTCGATGATTTTCCCCCCTTAAAAAAAAAAGTCTAATAGGTATCTTGGGCATTAGTGCAGGCATGTTGAAGTTATACCTATATCTCATATAAAATACCTATAGCTCATGAAAAATAGATGTGTTTTGTAAAAAATGCACAACAAATATCATAATAATTTTTATGTTAGAAAAGCATATTTCTAAGTCAAACGTGAAAAAAATATACATACATAGTGATCCCATATTCTATGAATTTGGGATCACTATATCCAAAATAACATTATTATTGTATATTTGACGATTAGAAGTGGTAAATAATCGCATAAAGTAAGATAATTAGAAATAGTAAATTAGGTCAAGCGCGTGTCTTTTTACCCGACTGCGTTAGTTTAGTTCTAGTAGGCGTCATTTTGAAATTAAACTAGGTACAAGTTAAATATTTTAATAATCGTTCAATTCCGCCTATACTTTAGTTTAGTTTGACAAAAATGTTGGAATTGGTATTCTATTACTCCATACGAGATTGGGGTCTAATTACAAATCACCTGTATAATGTTGCTTTTGATTCTGGGATATTTATGTTTCCCAGTTGCCTTTTTTCAGTAATAGTTCTCTAGTTATCATAGTTCTAAAAGGGATCAGTGATCGACCAATGTTCGATTATAAATGTACCAGATTGCCTACAATCTTTTTTATCAAAATAACATAAAATGACCTTCGTCTATTGTGTTTTAAAATTACGAATTTGGTAAAAATAGCTCCGTTAGGTAATGTTACTTATTGATTTTCAGTTAGTGGAAGCCGTACGTTGGGAATATTGGAACAATAAAACAAGAAATGTAAAAGAGGTACTTGGTAATGTGGAATTTCTGGGGCGAGTTGAATCTGCAGCAAAATGGAACTCGGGTATCGTACTGATTGCAGCTCGTTTGGCGAAGAGAGTTAGGCGCCTCTTTGTTTATAGATACTCACAACCAGCTGGAGTTGATCTAAAAGGACAACAGTACAATTTTACTGGTAGGTATATTATAAATAAAAATATTTTAACATGCATACTTATACCTAAATACATATGAACATACGTACAGGTGTTAGGTACATAGGTACTATTATCGTTTACATCTTATTTTTAGGAGCAGTCCACGGATCCGATTTAGTGTCTCTATTAGGAGATGCATTAATGCTCCAGGTAGCCCGACGACCCCCTACAAAAGAAGAAAAGAGAGTTTCGTTTCTCTTACGAAGACATTTAATTAACTTCATTCAATTTGGGTCAGTCAATCAATCAATCAGTCAAAAAAGTTATGCAATAATTTATTAATTACTTATTTTTGTAAATCAGTAAACTTTTGAACGTTTTTGTAACAGTTCACCTGGAGAAGAATCAATCTGGCAACCCTACAAATCATCGGACGCCAACGTATATGATATCCACGATACGAAAAATTCCTATCCTTACTACCATAGTGCTGAAAGAGATGTCAGATTTTGGCTTCAGTATTTGCCACAACTGAACATTATTTTGGATACTGCAGAGAAAACAGGAAAACTGACAGACGAGAAAGGTGAACTGCATAATTATTTTTTTCAAAATTGTTTGTTTTCTTGAATGATAATTATTTCCTATACCTTCGTATATCTTATTTAGGTAATTACTCCCTTACGCTTACTTAGGTTACCTACCATCCGATGGATCGATTTAGGTACTGCTACTGAGAACGCAGCAAGCAGCAACCGCGCGTTGGTACAGTAGTGACATTGCGATTTAATGTCTAGACCTACTTTCAATTAACTAATTAAACTAAACTTATCGTGTTTTTATAATGACTATGGTGAGACATGCTGAATAACAAAAAATTTTGAGTTACACACATAAATAAATACTGAGAAAAGCTTTACTAGTGGTACGGTGATGTGCACAGCTTACGCGCAACCACGACCGCGTACGCTGCTCATGAGGAAAAGTCCCCCTATGACTCGAAATTAGTAGTGTCTCTCAGTAATTTTCAGTTAAATAAATCTACCGTATTATTATACTATTTTTTTTATATATTTCATGCGCTGACGTTTGGCCACTACAACACCTGGTGGTAAGCGATGATGCGGCCTACGATGGAGCACGTCTGTCCATAAACAACCTATTTACTCGAGGCTTGGGGACACCCAGGTATACCCCTAAAGAAATCAGACTCTGGCAAAGAATTCCACTCCTTAGCAGTACGTACAAAGAAGCTTGACGCTCCAATTGTCGTGTGGTACGATGATGGAAACGATTAGGGGGAATCAAGTAGTGCAAATCCCCGCACACTCTCCAAAATGTGTCCTGTGTTCGAGGCTTTGAAGCCGGGCCTCCACAAGCGCATCCTCGTTAATTAGCCTCCTGGCATGCCTCTCGATGTCTTGTAGTAAGTCCAACGCGTATTTAGCCGAGCCGTCCCAAAGATGAGATATTCCATTCAGTACCGAACCTGTGCTTGGTACAGGCTCAGCAATTGTTTCAGTGTGACTTACGGTCTTACCGTCCATAGGATACCCAACTTCCTACCAGCCAGTTGCACTTTAAACTCAATCCGTCTTATTACAAAACCCGATCTATTTTTAGTACCAGGATTAATACTAGGTTTAAACCATGACTAAATAAAACGTTATTATAAAACAAAGTTTATCACTAGTTCCGGAACTATCTATGGTAGGTACTAAAGTTAAACCGCCGAGACCCCTAGTTTAACTTCGATACTAAAGTTATTTGAGGTTAGCTATCAAAAATATTTACGTGTATCTTCTATATTATTAATTGTAAAATGGATATTGAACCGATTGATGTTATGGATTTAAAAGATTTAGAAGATTTGGACATGTTAGAGACGTCTCGGCGATCGTACAGACATCGCCATCGTGTAAATCCCTTTGACTTGAGTGACGAAGACTTTCGATATAAGTACAGTTGTTGTTCCATTTCCAGTCAGTCACAATAAACAATAATATTTATATAATAAAAAAGACTCAATATTTGTTTCGTGATTCGTGCTCTGCCGCCTTCTTATAAATCGCTCCATTTTACGCTAGAGGTGTTAAAAAATATGACAACTTGGTTATAAAAAGCTCGTCAAAATACAAGTTGTGCTTGTTCACTATATTGTAACACAAACAAAAAACAATTTATGATATAATTTTGTGTTGATACATAATTATTTAAGCATTTCAGGCGTTATTGTAATAACAATATTTAGACGAACGGAACGTTGCTTCAAGTGGATCCTGAGTGAACGAATGAAAGAATGCTATTTATGTTTTTTATCTGTGGGACAATGGACTTTCTTTGGTACTAGCTGATCCCCGAATAGTCTTAGTTTTATAATTGGAATAAATTTCAGTCCTGGTACTAGCTTTAATACCGTAACAAACCTAAATCTTATAGTCCGGGTTTAAACCAGTACTAAGTCGAACTTTTGTAATAAGACGGTATATGGGTAGTAAGAATGCCCATGATGGCATTAAGCCCGCCTATTTACTCTTGTTGCATAAAGTTAAATAAATAAATATAGGAGTCAAAGTTGAGTGTGATGATCAGTTATTCCTTCCTATTATCTTATCTTATACTCTTATACTATTACATAAAGCAGAAGAGTTTGTTTTTTTGTTTGTTTGTTTGAACGCGCTAATCTCCGTAACTACAAGTCTGATTTGAATAATTCTTTTGTGTTGAATAGGGCATTTATCGAGGATGACTATAAAACATCACGCTAGGGCCAATAGAAGCTGAGCACAGCGTGTGAAACCGCGCGGAAGAAGTTAGTTCCTTATAAAATAATATTTAATTTTAATAATATTTATTTAAAGTAGGTGAGTAGGTATATATATATATACATATCATCCTTAAAACATTTATTTTGCTTTCAGATGAAAATCGACTCAGAGGCGGTGTTCTTGCTATGTGTGGTGTGACAATAGTACTTTTGCTACTTCTCGTTATTTGTGGTATAATATTACATAGACAAAAGTCACGTAGATTTACCGTCGTTGATGAGAATCATCATTAAGCAACGTGCAAGCTGGTACCATATTATTATGGTAGTTGCGCATTAAAATGAGTTTGTTGTTGCTCGATTTTGGTACCTACATATCTACAAAACATACACAATATTATAATCGTACTAATATTATAAATGTGAATGATTGTGAGTTTATTTATTTTTTAATATGGGATGTTTTAGTCTGTTGCTGAATCACGTCAAAACGGCTGTAGAGCCTTCTTATTATTCGGGGCCTTACTATTGGAATAGTTAAAAATTGTATATAAATAGAGGTATATATATATATATATCTAACATTGCTTTAATAATTGCAGATTTGTAAAAATCAAAAAAATAAAACTTGTTAAAATCCATGTAATATGTCCCCAGACGTAGGTAGATCTATTTTTCGGATCGGACATAGGGCCTTGGCGCTTGCAGTATATTTTTGACCATAAAAATGTGAATAATAAAATCTTTTTGTCCTTGTAAAATATCTGATTATTTTACTTTTGTTCATCAGCGCGGTTTATCAGCAGTTTATCAACTCTTGACTGCAACGGTAGTTGCTCAATGTTTATAAAAAAATTTAGTGGTTTATAAATAAACACGTTGAAAAAAGGCAGACGCAATGTTTATAAAGATTATAAAAATATATAATACTTAAAGTTTTTTTTAAACTTACAGACGTGATATACTATTTTGAAATCATCTGGATGACCTTTTTAATCTGATACCCATATTGCAATATTTGAAGAATTTGACATTTTTTTAGGTAGGTTACTTTAGCGTCTGACAGTTAGCATGTTTGTTTAACACATAAACTCGTGTTTCCCGGTTTCCAAGAATTAAATAATCAACAAAAACTATTTTTTATTAATGTTGTAATATGTTTATTGATAAGAATTTAGGATATATAAATAAATATATACAAAACTAAATTTGGTAAACAATTCCAGAAATATTATAAATGCAAAATATTTCCAATTATACAATTCACCCTGCATTGTATGGACGACGTCGTATTGGGTATCGTGACACGTCACGACGTCGCGACGTTTTACGAAGCTCGTCGTAAATTACCACAACGCGATGTCGTATCGTGTTTATGTGTACCGGCCCTTGGACTTGGGTTCTCACGACGTATCTATCGATATATCATTATCATTTTTCTAAACCGGTTAGGTGGTTCAGAAGAAACAAAGTAAATAAAAAATATTACACTCAGGCAAAATACAAATACAAATACAAATATTGTTTATTTCGTCAATGTAGGTATGTTACAATAGATGGTAGATAATATTATGGTAGTGCGCCACATTGTGTCTGTACAGACATACAAAATTTGTACAGTATGTTCTTAAATACACCTAATAACAAACTAAATTAATATTAACATCAAGTTTTAATAAAACTATTATTTGTGTTGAAAATTTACCCTATCAGCCGTATACTCAATTAAACTATAATAACATTTAAGTAATCGAATGACTGCTCCCGCCTGGGTGAGGCGGGAGGGAGTGTCAGACTCTTACTGACTAAAAACCACCCCGTTCCTTCTCCTGCACGTCGAGTCGGAGCCCCGGTTACCCGTTAGGTTCTCCGCGACAAGTAACTAAATGACTAGGTTTACATTAACTTACGGAAACAATAAAAATCTTCATTGTTAACATTATAAATTTCCTCTGTCATCAATCATAAATTCGGTTAAATTTTAATAACATTTAGTTATTAAAAACTGCCTTAGTTTTTTTTGAAAAGAGGTAAGTTTAGTGCTTTGATTTCCTTAGGTAATCTATTATATAGAGGTATTTGTGTAGCAACCCTGAAAATACTCTTACTAAAAAGCGCTGTATTACCGTGTACTACTTGAAGGTCACCAGTACCTATCCTTTTGCCTCAGCCTGGAATCGCGTGGGGGCTTTAATTCAAATAGACATCTGTTACATTTAACGAAGGTGGCTACTTCGTAAATAAATAAACATGGAAACGTTAACAGTTTTAAGTCTTGAAAATGTGGCTTACAACTGTCCCTAGGACGTAGGCCACGTATAGCGCGTACACATCTTTTTTGTGCTATGAATACGTCATTTTTATCGGTGGAGTTACCCCAAAAAATCAGCCCATACCTTAGTATAGATTCCACGTAACTATGATAAGCGGTGATCACTGTCTCCTGGTTAGCTGAACGTGATAATTTATAAAGAGCATATGCAAATCTGTTTATTTTCTTACACACCGATTCGATATGCGGTTTCCAAGTTAAATTGCTATCGATCACTAAACCCAAGAATCTGGTAGTATTCACTTCTGTAATCGTCGAGCCTTTGTAATTAATATTTAGTTGTGGTGGTAATTGACGCTGATAGAAATGCATTAAATATGTTTTTCCTAGATTTATATGTAAATTATTAGATTCTAACCACGTTATTGTCTGTTTTAGAATATTGTTTACTTCTTGTTCATAATTGTAAGATTTATCTGACTTAATAATTATCGTGCTATCATCAGCAAACAGTACAGTTGGGTGACTAAGGTGTTTTGGAAGGTCATTAATGTAAATTAAAAATAACAAAGGCCCTAGTACACTTCCTTGCGGAACCCCGTACTTAATCTTTCTTGATTGAGAACAGTATTTAATTTCTTTTTTGGCTTTTATGTCAATATTTACCATTTCAGTGTATTGTTGCCGGTTATTTAAGTAAGATGCCAATAGTTCCAACCCCTTTCCGCGTACCCCGTACCTTTCCAATTATCTATTAATATATTATGATCGACATAATCAAATGCTCTGGTCATGTCCATATATAGAGCGCAAATAGGTATTTTATTGTCAACACAATTCATAATTATTTTGAGAAAATCATATATGGCCAGATTGTTAGATTTGTTGTTCCTGAAACCTTTTTGCTCATCTACCAATATGTTTTTCTTTTCGAAGAAATTATATAGTCGCGAATAAATGGATTTTTCAATGATTTTGGAAAAAATTGGTATCAATGCTACCGGACGATAGTTTTTGACTTCTTCTTTATCTCCTTTTTTATATAATGGTTTTATAATTGAAGTTTTCAGTTTATCCGGGAAGGTTCCTGTTTCAAAACATAAATTTATTATGTATGATAATGGATAACTGATATATTTGTGAACTTTTTTAATTATGTTTGTTGCCAGGCCGTCATTTCCTGTACTTTTAGTATTCTTTAGGGATTGTATAATAATTGCAACTTCATTTGGCTTACTTGGATTAAGAAAAAGTGTATCGTAAATACGTTCAATTGGTGGGGCTTGCCCTTTATTACCCATACTAAGACGGTCTATATAAAAATCGTTGAACACGTTGCAAATATTTATGGTGTCCGTTATTTCTACACCATTATGAATAACTTTAGTTATTGGTTCACGAGGAAATTCCACTTTATTGTTATTGATAACGGACCAAGTGGCTATACTTTTACTTTTAGCATTATGAATAAAATAATTATTTTGCGCGAGCTTTGTAAGATGTATAATTTTTTTGTATCGAACTGCATATGCAACGTACCTAGCCTTGCTTGCGGTGTTTTTTGCTTTACGGTGTTCCCACAACAGTTTTCTTTTCTTTTTGCTACAGGCTTTGATACCTCGAGATAACCACTTTTGTTTTTTATTTAAGGTCTTATTTATAAGTTTGGTGGGAAAACAAAGATCATAAAATAGCTTGAACAAATTTAGCAAGGCTTCGTATGCTAGGTTCGGATCATTTTGTTCGTAAACATCACTAAATGTAAGGCTCTTTATGCACTCTACAAATTTCGCTATCAAGTCCGATGAATAATCCCTTACTGTTGTTTTCCAAGAATGTATAACACACGTTTTGTTTACATTACATCTAAGTATTTGTGCGGTATGATCTGAAAGAGCAGTTTCTATTATTTCACCAATATTACCACGATCATTATGGAATATATTATCAATACATGTGCCGCTAGATAGGCGAGTGGGTGACTTTACTAGTACCTTTAAATTATATCCTGCAATTATATTTAAGAATTTTTTAGTACTCAGATCATTATTTAATAGGTTTATGTTGTAGTCTCCGCAAAGTATCGTAGTTTTGATCTTTTTCCCGCTATTAATATGATACAATAAGTTATCCAGCGTTTCAAAGAAAAGTTCTAAATAGAGAAGTTTGTTGGTTCTTAGGGACCCTGTACACACAATCTACAATCACGTCATGTTGTATTAATTTTATACCGCAAAATTCGAATATATTTGGATTTGAAAATTGTTTGACTTCATTTAATTTTTCATAATCTTGAATATTTTTAACTATTATACACGTACCACCCTTTCTTTTGTCCCTATAGAAACAATCGTCTAATTTATAGTTTGGTAGCGTAAGCAGGTTTTGGTCATCAAATATCATATTATGTTCCGAGATACATATAACATCAACTGGTTTATTTGAATCATCAAGCTCATTTAGTTGCACGGTTAACATATCGGATTTACTAATTAGACCCGCTATGTTTTGGTGCATTATGTAGATACTATTATAAACGAAAAAAATTTTTATGTGTTTCAAATTTTGTATCTATGGATAATTCAGAAGTATTATTTCTTCTGTTTGAGTTTTTTGCTTTAGGGAAGTATTCAGGTATGGTTTTTTGTATAATTCTTTTGGTTTTATCTAGGGCTAGGTTCATGATTGTTGTTATTATAACAATATGTACCAGATGCACCATATATACCAGGAGAAATTGACTTTTTTGGCGGAATAAACCTAGCGCTATAATCAACCGAATCTATGACAAGATTTATCCTATAACAAATGTTCATTACATGGTTAAAATTATTGTTATACATATCTGAATTTATAAATTGGCATTTCCGAAACTTGTTGGACACACTGCGAATTAAAGTGTTAAGCTTTACTTCGTTAAGATGTCTACTTTTACTCACTGAAAGTGTTATGGCCGATGCTTTTGTGTTTTTGATTATATGATATAGCTCATTGCCTACTTTTTGTGGATCCGTATCTTCTTCCCCTATACAGAGGATCAACTTATCTTCGTGACTGAGATGGAGAGTCTCGCTGATGTTTAGGCGGCCACAAACCAACCGAAACTTCCCATTCGAGAACCGAAGTACACCTTCTGGTGGAGAGCTAGTATAATGGTTGGCAACACTGGTTGTCCCGACATTAATTTCCGGATCCAGACCCTAGATGGAGTTAACGGTATGATTTTGTTATCTGTGCTCGGTTCTAGTAGTGACGACCCAGCATTACGTCAGTCACGTCAAGTACGATAAAGTATCAGTCATTCGTTCGTTCGTTTGTACCATTTCCAATTCCATATTTCCATGTTTATTCTAATCTGTTCGTTTGTTTTGTACGTTATTTGTTGTGCAGTGGAGTGATAAATTGGGTTATGTCTAATAAACTATTTTGTTAATTAATCAAAAGTCAACAACAATACTTAAATCAATTTAATTTATTAAAGAGCAAATTAACAGCGCTTCTTGAAAATGGCTTTAGCCCTCCAAAGACGAGCCAATGTAAGTATTTACAAACACTGCATAACAATTTTTAAACGTGTGAATTTATTTATTCCTATGTATTTGTATCCACGTTAGGAAACTACTTAAATTTTAATGATAAATATACTTCCCAGTGAGTTGGAAGTACATATTTGTATAGATTCGGTGACTCGCGGAGTACGGTGCATTTTTAATGTTCCGTGTACATACATCAAAAAATAACACGCGTTGTATGTTAAAATACTATAAGATTTCGTTTACATCGAAAAATATCACAAGACTAAGAACTGTTAAACAACAAAGTCAAAATGCATGTATGGCTCAGGTTTCGTGGGTGAATAAAATCGAATGACCCTTTATAATTTTTCTAGGTTCGCTTACCACCAGAAGTCAACCGAATACTGTATGTCAGAAATTTGCCTTACAAAATATCAGCTGAAGAAATGTATGATATATTTGGGAAATATGGAGCCATTAGACAGATTCGTGTGTAAGTATTTACTGTTTATTTATTACAATTGCAGGTATAATAATCCTTACTAATACTAATATTATAAATTGGAAAGTGAGTTTGTTTGTTTGTTCCGCTTTCACGCCGTGGCTACTAAACCGATTGCTTTGAATTTTTGCAGACGTAAAGTTACAAGTCTGGATTAAATAATAGGGTACTTTTTATCCCGGGAAAATTTGATATTCCCGAGGGAAAATAAAAGTATTGGTATAGATGGCGCTGTGTGTATTGGTATATGTCACATAGGCTACTTTTTATCCTTTTGTGACGCAAGCGAAGCCGCGGGTAAAAGCTAGTATATATATAAATACTAGGTACTCAATTAAATAACACCCCTATAAGACTGTTTTAAACGGTTTTGTGTTTAGTAGTGATGTTATATTATGAAATATTTTCAAATTTACTTTTCATTTGAGAAAAAAATAAAGGTACAATCTATAAATATAACAATTTTATAGGTACTTACATAAACTCCCTTTATTATAGTAGTTAAATCTGTAATAATTATTGTAATGTCCTTCCCTTCACCTTCCCTTTTTATTATATTCCTCAAAATTGAATTTCAAATTATGTTTTGTTTTGCAGAGGTAATACTCCTGAAACGAGAGGAACAGCATTTGTAGTGTACGAAGATATATTTGATGCTAAAAATGCATGTGATCATTTGTCAGGCTTTAATGTCTGCAATAGGTATTTAGTAGTACTATATTACAGGTCTAACAAAGCATTCAAAGGTATGGATATTGAAAAGAAACAGGAGGAAATAGATGCATTGAAAAAGAAATATGGAATATCAAGTGAGGATCTTCGCAAATAAACTATTTTGAATAACAATGGTTTTTTTCTTAGCCTAGTAAATTGAAAAACTACCTACAGACAAAATGTAGCATTGTTGTATTAGATTTGGACTGAATTATTTTATTGTGAATCAACAGCTATACAAATAGGTAACGAATGCATGAGTGTAGCCAGTCTTTGCTCATGTTGGGCAACTGTATAATATGCCAGTCTAAATATTGAACTATACCAAATTAAACTGTCAAACACCAAGCGGTCACCGGTGACCGCAACCTATTGTTCTATAATTGTGTCTACAAAACCGGTACTCGACGAGTTAATAAGAATCACGGTTCTACTAGTTTCGAACCGTGAGCTGCGCGACTTCGCCGCGACCGCGCACGCTGCTCATGAGGAAGAACCCCTCTGTGGTTCGAAACTAGTAGAGCTTTTCTCAGTATATTCACGTGAGTAACCACGATATTTATTATAAAAACATTAAACTATACCCACCAAAAACAAACACATGGAAAACTACAGTTGAGTTTCCTATACTATGTGGGCATGACCAAAACATTCATGGCCGAGATTGGTAAAAAGTAGAAACAGGTTCGTAGAATTTTCCAAGTAGTCGGATCAAAGTCTTTCAGACCTCGATAAAAACACAGGTGGCACAAGCTTGATTGCCCTTGATTTTTTAAACGCGCTAATCTCAGGAACTACAGGTCCGATTTGAAAATATATTTTTGAGTTCATAGTCCATTTATCGGGAAAGGCTATAGGTTATTAAACATCCCGCTATGATCAATTGGGGTCGAGAAGAGCGTGTGAAACCGCGCAGTAGTTAGTAATATGTGGTATAAGTAAGTAAGTAAGTAAATACTTACTGTATTTATTTATTGAATGGTGAATCAACAACAGCTACATGACATAGATTTAGCAGAAAAATAGTAACATTGAGCCACTTACAGATTCACATGAATACTGACTTAATAGGTAACAGCTAAGACAAAATTAAAATTATAAATATATCAAAAACAGGCACACAGCAAGAAAATTATTTAAAGATAGAAAAAAAGGTGAGTACATATTTAAATATATTGCTTACGGTATCCTGAATACTGAAGCACTATTCAGGATACCGTAAACAAAAATACAAACGAAGAGTAGCAGCAAGAGTCAAAAGACAGGCAGTTTTAATTAAGGCGACAACATCTTGGTGAATAATTACCTACAGACTCATCTCATTTCTTTCCGGGTGGCGGGTCATGTCTATAAGTTGTTGTCGAAGGTCATAATTAATCGTCCCACCCATATGTCTGATGACTTCCAGCCTATCAAACAAGCCGGTTTTCTAAAACTTGAAAGGCAATAGAATCATAGACCACAACCATGCACTACGGTAATTTACACAGAATACCGAGAATTATAATTTGATCCTATGCATAACGTTTATAGGCTCTTGATTTGATCGAGGCTAAGGGTCGATTTATACTAGCGCAGTCGAAGCGCACCGAAGCGTCAAATTCTTAACTAAAGCGAAGCCGCATAAATGCGCGCGTATTCGAGAGTATACGCGCGCAGTCTTTGTTTTGCTGTAGTAGGTAATGGGCATTAACTGCATGGATTATATAGGCATTCATATTTTTGCACCAGTAAATTAATTTTTCGTCCGAATCCATTCGCTAGTGGGCGCGTGGATACGCGAGAATGCGCGCGCACCAATCAGCGTTGGTCACGTGCAGACGTGCAAATACTGAAGAATGCGCGCGTCTTTTTAAAGTCTCAGATGCAATGCGTGCGTTACGCTGTTGGGTTAAAGTTGAATTTGTTACGTTCAGTTTTGAATAGACGCTTCGACTTAGCCCTAGTATAAATTGATCCTTAGAGTTTTACCTCATGGCGACGTCGCCAACGGCACAAGCCTGCAGCCGTAGCCAAATGCCATTTAGCGCTTGTCTACTTGTAGAGTAGAAAACGGAAAAGTATGGAATTGTCGTAAATTTTGACATTTGTCAGTGTCATCCTCATACATTTCGTTTTCTACTCTCTGTAAACAAGCGCTAAAGTGGCGCTTGGCTAGAGGCACTGGTTACTCCGTTGGTCGCCAAATCCGTGGTCTCGAGTATCAACTACTAGTACGTTAGTCATATAGAATTTAGCCAGTAAGAGTCTGACACTCCCTCTCGCCTCACCCAGGCGGTAGAAGTCATTCGATAATAATCCTCCCTTAAAAAAAACTCCCATATAGAAAACTAGCTCGTGGCTGCACTAAGCGAAGTAGCAAAAGCGTCGCCAACTGAGTTAGGAACCGTTTATATCAATATTAACCAATATAAATTTTAAGACATACTTACCGCAATTTTCTTGTTTGCTAATAACTGTCAAGTGTGCTACGTACAAAATATAATTATTATGACGTCATTATACCCTATGTCGTAGTACATAGCTTGAACATAGGCTAAATATCAACAAAATCATAAAAAATACCGTTTGGAAAAACAAATTGGACTGAACTTAAGTTCTTTAGTTCATCAAATTGCTTTTCAGGATTATTTTTGTGATTTTTTATTACACAAATATTTTCAAGGTTGGAAAATAATTTACACAATGTGAGATTAAATATTTATTTGCATATCGGTTTAAGGCCGTAATGTTAAGCTAGAATCTGATATACTTGAGTATAGAATTACAGATATGTACCTAATCCATTATTAATAGTTTACTGAGGGTATTATTTTCAAAAACAGTTACATTAATAAATACTACTTCACAGAGATAAAAATTGAATAACCATGTTGACACAATCTATTGAGAGATTATTATTATTTAAATATACTTTACGGATTAAATAATACCTATAGATATCACAAAGAGGATTCTCACGAAACATGCAATAACTAGCTACTATTGAATTAAATCTGCCATTGAAACTTACACCTATAAAATAATAATTGAATGCTAATTTCAAAGACTGTGGAATCATAGAAGTATATAAGCTTACTTTTGTTTGCATACAATCATAATAACTGTAGTTAAAGGAAAAGTGGTGTCTTTTTAAGGAGTATATTTTTACATCTTTCTAATTTAAACATGTTGTCTACAAATCGAATCGCCGCCCCACTCTTGCTAACAAAAACATAATGAATCGTATAACACTTCAAGGTATAACAAAATATTCTTAATTTCTATTCAACTGAACTTTTTTAGTTTCGTACAACAATTATTTGATACTCCAACACATGAGAAAACTCTAAGCAGAGTTCCTAGCCTTACTACCTACTTTTGTATGGCATAATAATGATAATAAAAACGATTCAAACTAACAATGTCGTTGTTAACTGATTTTTTTCCGATTAAATGGAATGATAGACAGTATATTGTTATACTGGTTAGTATGTTTCTCAGGGACAGTCCGAATCCACAACCATTTACGCTTACGATATATGTTTGAAAATCATTTGAGCTACACAATAAACTGTGCTGCTCGCTGCTCACTTCCCACTTAATAAACATAACATTGAATACGATATACTTTCTATCTACATAGCCATGCTTCTTAACGCCTTAAGAGCACTAGTCTTAAAATGTTGAAACTATTAAACATTAGTTAGCTCTTAACAGCACTAGTAATTAGTATGTACTTTATAAACAAGAATGAACATTATTGACATAGTGAACACCCACATCAATATGAATCACTATTTAGCCAATCTAACAAATACAAATTATTACAGTATATAATTATATTAAGTTATACCATGTCACTCTATATTTATAAAAGAATAAATATATTAGACATTATCAAAACGAAAATCAGGAACTTTACTGAGATGCTTTAGAAATTGCGAGCCGAGGATACAGGATTAAACATAATATAACATAACATTAATACATCTAAGATAACAAACAAAAATATATAAAAAACGTGACAGAATTTTAGAAATGATGTTGCATTGTGTATCACACTTGGCAACCCAATACTCTCATGACCAGTTTCACAATCCCTGCAAGTTCCTGGAAAATGTAACTTAGTATTTGTAATTTCAAAATTTTCATAATAATCTTATTTTATATATTCTGTTATTCGGTAGTGAGTAGCTATGCAGAGTTCATGAAACTGACCAACAGTATGTTAAATACAAATATTATTTGATTGTTTATGAAGAAACAATAGATTTACCTTGAAGTTGTGAGGCTAAGTCTCGCAGAACAATATAAGACAGAATAAAATAAGTACAGACAAAGATTGTATTTCACTAAAATAACTATTGACTCGATAAGAAAATTAAATGATAGTAAAGCACGGAAAACACATTGTTTCTTGAGTAGCCCAAAATATATAAATTTTATGCCGTCATTTTAATCATACAATGTATATTCAAATACGTCATACATAAATTGTACAAAAATAAACACTAAGGTGTGCATATGTGGAGCACTAAAATAATTGTGTTTTACTTTCGTTACTCAGTCTGTTAACCTCTCTCACAATAACAAAATTTCAGTGAATTATTGAAGAGTAGTCTGTTACACCTTGTATTTTAAGAAACTTAACTTTTTGTCATAAATAACTTAATTAGGAAGTAGATGTTAATCGTGCTCTGCCTTCAGTAACTAATTGTTTATTTATATAAATGTCTTCATCAGTAGAGGTGTCAATAAGATCAAGTGTCAATAATGGTTCGTTTGGATTTAACGGGTCCTTACCAACATCTTTACAAATACCTACAAACTGTTGCTCTACACACAATTCCTGGAATCTTATACAGTCTTCTACAGTCCAGTCCTGATGCAATGGCCATACATCTGAAATAATTGAAAAATACATATTTTAAATGCAATATTAATATCCTTCTTAGTTTTAAGTGTGAGAGAGTCATGCTTCGGCATGAATGGGCCGGCTCGACCGGAGTGATACCACGGCCTCACAGAAGACCGACGTGAAACAACGTTGCGTTGATTCTTCGTGTGAGTGAGGTTACCGGAGCCCAATTACCACAGATGATGATGACGCCATTGGTTTAACTTTGAAACCATACAATTATGCAGAACATCCAGCTATTATCCCTAGCAGTATGTCGTGCTATTTATATAGATGATTTGCACTAAATATCAAATAGGCTACTAAATAGAACTACTCAAAATACACTGAAAAACTCAGAAGGTCAGTCGCTTTTTAAGTCTAAATAAAGTAGTTAGCTACTTTCTGTATTAAAATGAAAGAACCGTAAAATCTGATTCTTACCAAACAGTCTGGCTTTTATAGCTTGCGGTGGCAACGACCGCGCTAGAGGGGCGCCGGGTGGCACAGGCCGCAGTGCTTTGGTGGCAAATAAAGCTAAATCTCCGTAGTCACAGAAATAAACAGACACCATTTCTGATGACACTGTCCCAGCGATTGTCACTCTACAAAAAAAGAATATATTTATTAACTATTGCCAGGTGTATCAATAGGGATGATGACGGGGTATGAAAATGAAAAATCTATTTAGGTAATCGGTCAGTTAGGTAATAAAAAAATATTAGACACGTAGTTTTTTTCTGTTGTATAAGAAAATAATATTTAGATAAAACGAATCAAAGTTTAGACGTGGGAGCTGGCTACGTCATTTCTAAATATAAAACGTACCTAAAAGTTACGTCTCGCGATATTTGAAATCAGTTTTATTTATTCATTCTTATGATTTATTTATTATTCATAAACACATGCATATACAGCACAAGCCAAAACATTATACAGTTAAAAATGACGTCTTTTACTACTTTACACTTATGTAATAGGTATCTTATATAAAAAATACAATAATTATAC